TGTGAAATATTCAGAATAGGCAAATGCATCTAGTCAGAAAGCAGATGAGTGGTTGTTAGCGGTAGGGGGAGGAGGAAGTGCCTGCTTAATGGGTATGTTTTCCCTTTACGCTTTAAAATGATTAAAATGGTTAATTTTACATTATGTGTATTTTAGCATCATAAAAAAGTACATTTATGCACATACTAAATGCTCATTGAGTCTCTACTGTGTACCAGGAGCTGTGTTATGCACTTGGACCCAGGACTAAACGAGACTGGTGTGATCTCTACCCTCCAGGAATTACAGAAAGGGAGAAAAACCAGCTCACAGTCCTGGACTCAAAGAAGCCTTGGGTGTGGGTGACAGGAGTCCAGAGGAGGAGAAATGGGTCTCCGGACTCTGGGTGAGGAGGATCAGGGAGATGTGCTATAAAAGAGAATGACGGACAGCTCTTGAAGGAGGAAAATTTGCCCTTGGAGAATTGATCTTATTATCTAAGGAATGTGTGGTTAGAGGCTGCCTCAGGCCATCCTGTCCCCTGAGATGGGTGAGACAGTTGAATGCATGGTGTGTCTAGAAAAGCAAGGATAGCTGTACACAAGGGAGGAGGGAAGAGAGCAGTTACTCTCAGAACCTTGTCCCCTGGACTTTCTGCTGGGCAACAGTGTGGAGTGGGGGTTGTTGATTCAGTCAGCTGTCACTCACGAGGATTTTGCCCTCAGCCTCAGGCCTCCCGGCTAGGGGGCAGGCAAGCAGAGAGAAGGGGAGGGCCAGGACTCATTACCTAAGCAGAACTGTGTACCGGATGTTTGATCAGTTTCAGTTAATCTTCCTAATAACCCGATGAGATAGGTTCTACCACTGCTCCTCCCTCTTCTCCTTTTTAAAAACAAAATTTTCTAGTATTCTCTTCATAAAGATGGGAAAATGAAACACTGAGAGGTAAAGTGGCCGTGGCCTGACGCCCCCATGCTGGTGGAAGCCCAGTTCTGTTCCAGTCAGTCTGACCAAAAGATCCACTGGGATGCTGGTGGAACTCCCCGAAGCTCCACCAATGGAGATGAGGCCTCAGAGTCCTGGCTCCTGGCTCCAGACTTGCAGAAAGCTCACAGGCCTGAGTTTCAGCCACTGGAAACTTCCAGCTTGACCACAAACCTGGAGAGAAGGACTGGTGTATGCAGGTCTTTGGACCATATCCATCACCAGACACTGGGGGTAGAGGCAGCTGAGAGAGGCACAGCCTGGGGTTCGGGACTCGGGCTGGAGTTCCACTGCTGTAGTTCCTGGCTGAGGGGCCCCAAGCAAGTCTCCACCTCTGTGGGCTCTGCTTTGTTCTTTTTTAGTGACTGGGAAGCTGGCTAGAGTATTCTTTTTCTTCTTTCTCCATTAATATTTTCTTAAATGTATAGGTCATTTTCATCCTCCTCACTTCCCTAACTACCTATTTTTATATTATTTACATACATTATTTTTCCAAAAAATGGGATTACACTTTATATATTGATCCTATGACTTAATCATTTTCATGATATAATAAAGTTTTGGGGAACTTTCCAGGTCAGGAATGCAGACCTACCTCATTCTTCTAAAGAGACATTCGTTTTCCCATGTGACTGCACTGTAATATAGCCCCTTCCCTCGATGGCATTTAAAAAACCCTGCAGTCTTGTGTTTCTCTGTGTGTGTGCATGTGTGAGCATTCCTACAGAAGATTCCCAAAAGTGACATGGCTGGACCAAAGGGAATGGATTTTAAATTTTGAAAGAGACTGCCAAATGATCTTCTGAAGAGGGCTCCAGAAGTAGGTTACTTGTAAAACTGTTTTAAAGTGAGCATGCCTGTTCCTTTGATCCCTAGCAGTATAGGAAGTGACACCCTTAGGAAGTCATTTAACCACTGTGAGCTTTAGTTTGCTTATCTGTGAAGTGGGAAACCTAGAGTAATACACATGAAAGTAATTTGGTGTGGCAGAGTCCTGTTTAAAATTGTCTTTAGCATTGGGAAGCTCGGGGCTGAGCATCATCTGCTTGCCCTGCTTCCATGCAAGAAGAATGAGGGAGCCTAAGCAAGGAGGATGCTGTCTTATATCAAGTGTCAATTCTGTGCAAGGCACATATATTAGACCAGTGGTCCTCAATGGGTATGGGGGAAATGACTTTGCCTCCCAGGGCAATGTCATCAGGCAATGCTTGGAGACAGTTCCATTGCCAAAACTAGAGGTGGTTGCAACTGGCATCTAATGGGTTGATGGCAGGAAGGATGCTGAGAATCCTATAGTGCATAGGACAGCTCCACAACACAGAACTATCCAGTCGCACATGTCTACAGTGCCAACAATGAGAAACTATGCTCTTGACCTGCCTCTAATCTGATGCCTGCCTTACTGAGTACCAAGTACACTAGGACTCAGAGAGGTGAATGACTTGCCCAAGGCCCCGCAGCCAGCAGTAGCCAGGAGTTGACTTTTGGCCCCATCTGACTTAGGATCTGTAGTCTGTTCTATATACTGCACGGTCTCTCTGGGCAGATGTCATTCTTGTCTCCAAGTGCCAGCTGACTTTTCACTGGCTTGGACCCCAGCAGATTATCTACAGGGCAGGTTTAAGTTTTACCTAAAAGCCCAACCTCCCTACCATTTTAGAGGTTGTATGACTTTGGGCTTGTAGTCATAATCATTGTTTCTGTTTATTGCATGCTATATACACTTTATGAAGATTAACTCATTTTACCCTGATAAGGTCCCTCATGCTGTAAACATTCACCTTTGCACCATGAATTGGGCTGCTGTTCTACATTGGAGTATGACAGGCTAGAGTCGCACCTCATATCTTCCATCCAATGCCTCAGGAAAAGAAGCTGTGCTCTGAGCAGGGATGGGAGATTGCTGCAGGGAACTCAAAGCCAAAGAGGATGTCCAGGGACCAAGAGGGAAGAAGCCCTGGATGATAGGGATGTAACTTCCTCAGACTCTGTCTGTAGTTCCTAGAGCAAATCTACATATGCAACTGAGGGTCCAGCAGGAGTCTTGGCTCCAGCGTATTGCAACCAATCTTATTTGCTGACCTGGGTCTATTTGGATCTTGGCAAGTCTAAATTTGGCAGTGGGCTCAATAAAAATAGCACACAGAGTGAACAGTGAAGTGAAAACTCACAGGAATGGATTCTACGAGGTGGCCTGTTGGGGATGGTGCTGAGCTCTGGCTCTGCCCCTTCCTAGCTGTGTGACATTGGCAGTGCCTCAGCACCTCCTCTGACAAGTGTGGACAGCAGCACCCAGTGGTCCGGGTTGTAAATGTGAAGACTGGAGGTAGTGTCCAGAACCCTGGAACCCCACAAACCCTGGAGAGGCCATGACCAGCTTTGCCACCCACTGGCTGGGTGACCTTGAGCAAGTCTCTTCCCCTCTTCGTGCGTCTGTTTGCTTAACTGTCACAGGAAGGGGCAGGTTCTTGATCCAGAAGCCCTTTGAGGTCTTACGGCTCCAGAACTGGGCCATTTCTCTCTCCCCAGGGCTGACCTCTTTGGGCACCCAGGACACACATTTCTTCATACTCCAGGTTGCAGGGGCAGCTCCAAAGAGCAAGGCAGAGCTCCTTGCCTTTCTCTTCCCAGTCCCCACAATCTGGCCCACTGGAGAAGAGATGCTGCCAGTATCCTGTCCCTTAGACAGCTTCATCAAGGCAGTGAAGCCAACACTATCTCCAGCCCAGTGGATGGTTCCCGCAGCCTCCATCTCCCTTGATCAAGCACCTAGGGAATTCCATTGGACAATACCCAAGGAGCTTGGGTGGGGAGGGGCAGCCCCAGGGAGCAAACTGGGGCTCTTCTCTCAGCATGGACACCCCCTTCTCTAGGAGAGGAGTTAGACTGCCTCTGGGGAGGATATTCTGAACACAGTCCTTTTGGTGTGTGTGGGCGAGTTAGGTGTTGGGGAGAAGGGGTGTTGGAGTCCCTGCTAGTTCTGCTGTCTTAGAGGTCATCTCTGCTGTCAGAGTTTGGAGGCTCCGAGAAGAGTCTTTATACTCAGGATCCCAGTTTTAAGGGCTTCAGTCAGTAGGCCTTCTTATTAACCCTCTTTTTCTAGTCTTATCTCTGACTAGTGTGAGGAAAGGTGGATGGAATTAAGTGGAGCAGTGAGGTGTGTTGGTACAGCTGGGGTTAGGTGAGGTGGGGAGGGGTGGGTATGCGGTATTAATGGGATGGGGTTTGTGTAAAAGGGTTAGATAGAGGTGGAGTGACGTGGGGTGACTTGGTCTGGATCCAGACCCTTGCCTTATTTCTGAGTATAAAAGCCCCTCATTGCACATCTTTACTGGAGGAAGAGGAGAAATCCCCCAAACACCTTTAGTGTGTTTGGCAACCATGTTGAGGCAACCATGTCCTTCTTATGAGTGGGGAGGGGGTCTTGAAAGGTTGGGGCAGGAAATCGCCTCTAAAGGCAAATACCAGAGTCTAGTTCCTGAGAGGGGGGGATGCAGAGAGATCCATATTGGGTTTGAGGGTGACATGCAGAGTCTCTGCCCTGGGAGGTTGTTGTCTTAAGAAGAGGCTTATTTCACAGGATATCTGGGAGCCTCCATTTTCCACAGAACACACTGTTACCTATGTGCTTAGAAGACCCCATTATTCAGAAGGGTGGGTGGAAAGAAATTGAAACTTAGTTTTTAGGCAGGGGGAAGTGACATGGTCTCCAAAGAGATGAGAGGGCCCTAGATACCTGGGGAAGCTGGACCCCACTTTGTGGGGCACATTTCATTCCAAGGGGTAAATTAGGGAGACCTCATCTCTAGAGCCCAGGGTCAAGAGGAGGAGCCCATTTCTGAAGAAAAAAGGACACGGTTTGCTCTCTGGAAGGTGAGAGACTTCTTTTTAGGGGAGACGACCACCGTCTCACGGGGGTGAGGGCCATGCTTCAGAGAGATGCCGGGTTTCTGTTCCCTGGGGGCAGGGCCGAAGGACTCAATCTAGACTCCCCCGCAGAAGGGCCCGCCCCGCACAACCCAGCGCCTCGCCCTTACCTCCAGGACCCAGCTCTGCTGTGCGGACTCCGATCTGAGGGGCCACGATTTGCGGGATCTGCACCCTGCGTTCCGGCTGCGCCGGGTCTCTGCCCCACTTCCCCCAGCGACTCGCGGGCCTCCCTGGTTCCGCCGAGTCGCACCGGCCAATCAGCGCTTCTTGCCCCGGCCCTCGCTTGCGCTTAGCCAATGACTGTGCCCGCCACGGGCCACCACCCCCGAGGGGGAGGGGGAAGGTGGGGCAAGGGTAGAGTCCGATCTTGAGGGGCGCAGGAGCCAGGGGGCCTTGAAGAGGGACCGCGAGGGCCGGGAGCAATGCTTGGAGCAGTGGAAGAAGCGGCCGAGGAGCCCCATCAAACCGGAGGGGAGTCTATCTGATGGGCGTGGGGGGTGGGAACCCGTATTTAAAAGGGGGACGGCTCTATTGATTGATTTAATTACCTCTTGTCCCTTTTTCTGGACCCTTGGGACTGCAGGTGAATGTAGAAAACCCAACTGCAGTTGGCGGCCCAGGACCCAGGCTCTGGAACCCTAAAGTCAGAATCAGACAAGGTCTCGTATGAAAAGGAGGAAAGAGCATCATTCCTTTCCCCTCTCTACCTCCCAGTGCTTGAGCTTATGCCTCTCTGTCTCTGCTCAGCCCTCCGAGCTGCTATTCACTTAACACTTCCTGGCCCACCAGCTCCAGAAGGCAAATAGCTTGTGCGTTGTGGGTGCAAAGTAAAGAGCACTGGGCTAGGAGTCTATGATCACTTCTGCAAGATGTAGGACAGGTCACTGCATCTCCCTGATTCTCAATTTTCTAAATAGAAATGGAAACAACAGTGATAGTACCTCCTTCATGGGCGTAAATGAGATTGGAGATGTGATAAGGTGCTTTATTAAAAATTAAGAAGCTGTGTGAAAACTAGTTAATAGTCAAGTGTAAATGACTGATACCTGTAGCTTTCTATAGGTATCTGGAAAAATGATACATTCATTCAGTGGTAAAATCAAAGACAAAATATTGCCCATCAGAACAACATGAGATCCCCAAGTGCTCATAATAAATGGTTGAATGGAGATTCCAGACCTCAAAAGGCCAAGAAAGAGCACTGTTTGGTTTTCCCCACTCAGTTTCATCAGGTAACTATTTAGTCTACTTGAATCTTGCAAAACCCTGAGGCACCTCCCCCTTCCTGCCTTTCAGAAATCTAGGCTGCCTTATGTCTGATTAGATAGGGAGGACTGTAGTCCTAGGAATTAACAGTTTAAGATAAATATAATGCAATAAAAAAATAAAAACTTTCAATAAACCATGTGTACCCTAGTGTGATCTGTGACTGTAGAGAACAGAAACAATAACAATAAACAATTCAAAGAAATAGAAAATATAATTAATCTAGAGTTCTGCTGAAACTGAGAGAACTTTGACAATTTCTTTGGCTTGTTAATTTTGTCATGTTGCTTGCAGAACTTTATGAGGCCAAGGCTATAAATCTAGCAATTTTTCCGTTATACCCCAAGGGGTATCCAAACTTTTGGTGTCTCTGGGCCACACTGGAAGAAGCGGAGTTGTCTTAGGCCACACAATACACAAACACTAACGAAAGCTGATAAGCAAAAAAGGAGTTTTAAGTAAATTTACAATTTTGAATTGGGCCACATTCATAGCCATTCTGGGCCGTATGAGGCCCACAGGCTGTGCATTAGACACTCCTGAAGCTATGAAGACAATCCCTTTTACTGCTCAAGACCCACCCAAAGAAGTCAAATGGTGAATAAACACAGAAGGAAATGAAGTTGTAAAAGAAAGCCAAGTGAAAGTGATGAAAAAATTTCATTTACCAAAGTGGTCTCATTTTTATTACTATGATTACTATTTGTGCAATTTAAAGGAAGTATACAATTTCATAAATTGCTGATGAGAGTACAAATGATCAAAGCTTTTCTGGAGAAAAACTAGGTATTCTATTTTTAAAAAGTTTTAAATGAACTTACCCTTTCACCTAGTAATTAAACCTCTACAAATCTATCCTAAAACAATAAATGGTACAAAAGTTTAGTAAAAAAGTGGTTTACTATCATTTTGTTTATTGTAGCAGAAGAACTGGAAACAAATGTACAATAACAGGGATTATGAAGGGACACTTGCATGAGCAGAATGCCTCCGATACAGCATAGGGGTTGAATACTGAATGATATGAAAATGTCATCTCAAAATATTAAGTGAACAAAAATATTAATCAAAAAGTTTATTTGGTATTGTCCTATTTTTGTTAAATCTATATGAACATAGATAGATCTGTGCTGTCCAATAGAACTTTCTGTGATGGTAGAAATGTTCTGTGTCTGTGCTGTCCAACATGGCAGCCACTAACCACATGTGGGGAGTGACTCTTGTCATGTCACAGGTGACTGAGAAACTGAACTCTTAAAGTTTCTGGAATTTTAGTTTTAAGTTAAATAGCCACCTGTGGCTAGTGGGTATGACATTGGACAGTACATAGATAGATAGATAGATAGAAATATCTATTAGTAGGAGTAGTTATCGCTGTATGTTGAAATTATGGATGATTCTAATTTTGCTTTATTTACATGCCACTCATTTCTAATTATTCCATAATGAATATATATTGCTCTAATACTAAAAATATATATTTAAAATGAAAAAAATCCAATTAAAAATGGTCAGAGCATCTGAATAGACATTTCTCCGAAGAGGACTTACAGATGGCCAACAGACATGAAAAGATGCTCAGTGTTATGAATCATCAGAGAGGTATAAATTGATACCACAGTGAGATATCACCTCACACTTGTCAGAATGGTTATCATTAATACATCAACAAATAACAGCCCTGACTGAGTTGCTCAGTTAGTTGCTGCATCATCCCATACACCAAATTATTGCAGGTTTGATTCCCACTCAGGGCACATACCTAAGTGGCCGGTTCAATATATGGTTGGGGTGTGTACAGGATGCAACTGAAAGATGCTTCTCTGTTTCTCTCTCACATCAATGTATCTCTCTCTCCCACACCTCTAAAAGTAATAAACATATCCTTGGGTGAAGATGAAAAAAATAATGAGTATTGGTGAGCAAATGAACCCTTGTGCACTGTTGGTGGGATTGCAAATTGGTGCAGCCGCTATAGAAAAACAGTACAGAGAGTCCTCAAAAAATTAAAAATAGAGCTGCCATACAACCCAGCAATTCTACTTTTGGGTATTTATCTGAAGAAAACAAAAACACTAATTTGAAAAGATATACACATGCACCCCATGTTCATTGCAGCATTACTACAATAGTAATAGACAAGATGTGAAAGCAACCTAAATGTCCATCAACAGATAAGTGAATAAATAATATGTCATATGGCCCTGGCTGGTGTAGCTCAGTGGATTGAGCACTGACTGTTGAACCACAAGGGTTGCTGGTTCAGTTCCCAGTCAGGGTGCATGCCTGGGTTGCAGGCCATGTCCCCAGTATGGGGTGTGCTAGAGGCAACTGTACATTGATGTTTCACTTTCTCTCTTTCTCCCTCCCTTCCTCATCTCTCTAAAATAAATAAATAAAGTCTTAAAACATTAAAAAAAGATGTCACACACACACACACACACACACACACACACACACACAATGGAATATTATTCAGCCATAAGAAATAAATCTTGCCATTTGCAACAACATGGGTGGACCTTAGAGAGCATTTGCTAAATGAAATATGTCAGACAGAGAAGACAAATACCCTATGATTTCACTAATATGTGGAATCTAAAAACACAAAACAAATGAATAAACAAAACAGAAATAGACCCATAAATATGGAGAACAAGGTGGTGGTTGATAAAGGTGGGTGTGGTGGGGGGATGAAAAATAAAATAAAATAAAATAAAATAAAAAACAAAAAGTAAATGTCTAAACCAAATACAGTCAGTCCACCTGCTGTTTTGTATGACCTTCCAGCTATGACATAAACTGGATTTTACATTTTACATGGTGGAGAATAGTCCAAAGAAGAATATGTTGAGTCACATGAAAATTATATAAAGTTCAAATTTCAGGGTGCATAAATAAAGTTTATTTTGGAACACAGCCATACCCACTCACTTATGCATCGTCTATTGCTGTCTTTGTGCTTCAGTGGCAGAACTGAGTAAGTAGTTCAGACAGAGATGGTATAGCTTGCAAAGCCCAAAATATTTACCATCTGGCCTTTAAAAAAAAAGTTTGCCAAGCCCTGGTCTAAAGTAATCAGGGAAAATAAAATGTGTGGAGTCGTCATCATCTGTTTATTCATTCATTTAACTATGTATCGAGCCCCCACTGTGGGTGAGGCTCTGGTGCTGAGCATTTGGGAGGAGTTGTACTGTTTCTGTTAAGGAGGAGTGTGACAGGGATATTTAGAGCCAGGTGCTTTGCAAGCTGATTCTCAAATAGCTTCATTATGACACTTGTGAAGAAAATCGTAACAGGTGGAAAAAGCCCTTCTCACATTAACTCCTCTTGCATTTTCCACAGTTCCATGGTTTTTCTATGGGGCTGCTCGAGGCAGCAGGTGTCTTCCAAGAGATGCTGAGAATGTTTTCCAAAGACTGGCTGAGGTCTAGAATGGGAGCTCCTTTCAAAAGAGCAGTTCTGTTTGGGAGGGCTCCCCCTGCACCTCCTGAGAGGAGAAATTAGGGCAATGGAGTGTGAGGCTCTCAGGGCCTCAGCAGTGTGAGCAGGAAAGACCGTTAGAGATCAGCAACCCACTGTATAGAAGAGGAACAGGCCAGAGATGAGAATTAACTTGCATAGGGCCAGATTAGAATGTGTGCCTTACTTCCTATGTCTGTGGTTTCCATACTCCCTGTTCACAAAATAATAAAGGGGTATCATAGAGGGCATTTGGGTGTGATGGACAGAGGACTAACTTAGGACCTGAAATTGGATTCCAGTATCACCTACAGTGGCTGTGTGACATTGAATAAGTCATTTACACATCTCAAACTTTGTGTTTTCACCTGAAAACTGGATAATTAAAGTATCTACCACAATATTCACACATAAGAGAAGGAAGTTGGACCCTCACCTCACACCATATACACAAATTAGCTTATAATGGATCAGAGAACTAAATAGAAGACTCAAAACTATAAAAATCTT